TTGTCACGTGCATATACAATTGCAATCAATTAAAATTATGACAAAATTGATTGCAATTAATTTTTCGGTAGGCCTGCTTACAACTTAAATTGGATCCCTATCATTTCCCCGACAATCACTTCCCCGACAGCCACTTCCCCGACAAATCATCTCCCCGACACAATCATTTCTCTGACATTTATCTCCCCGACAGTTACTTTCCTGACACAATCATTTTCCCAACAAAATCACTTCCCTGACAATCACTTCTCTGACAAATCATCTCTCTGACACAATCATTTCCCGACATAATCACTTCTCAGACAATCACTTCCCCCGACAAATCATCTTCCTGATATAATCATTTCTCTGACATAATCATTTCCCCGACATAATCACTTCCCCGACAATCACTTCCCTGACAAATCATTTCCTCGACATAATCATTTCCCCAACATAATCATTTCTCCGACATAATCATTTCCCTACATAATTATTTCCCGACATAATCATTTTCCTGACACAATTATCTCCCTGACAAATCATTTCCCCAATATTAATTTCCTTGACAATCACTTTCCTGACAAATCATTTCCCCGATACAATCATTTTCCTGACATTTATTTCTCCAACAGTCACTTCCCTAATACAATTATTTCCTTGACATAATTATTTCCCTAACACAATTATTTACTAAACAAATCATTCCCTGATATAATCATTTCTTCTGACATATTCATTTTACAGACAAGTCATTTCCCTGACACAATTATTTTTCCGACACAATTATTTCCCCAACAAATCATCTCCAACACAATAATTTCCCGACATTTTTTCCATTTTATCTCTTTTGTTACTAACTATAAAAAAAAAAAAATACTATAGAAGAAATAAATTATAGAAAATACTCACATTATAACGAATATAATGCCTGTAATGTGACCTTAATATAGCAAAAAAGGATGAGCAAGTAGAAATTTTAGATTTCATATTTGATAAAATGATTTCTTAACCAGGTCAACTGGGTAGGGTTGTTGGTGCAGGTGGCATCACCACTGGCACAATACTTTAAATTTATATAATTACTTAATGGTGCAGCAGTGGTGTACCACTTGTACCACCAACTCTATAACTGAGTCACCTGGTTTGTGATCTAGTAATGATTTTTTAAGCAGATAGGTAATCTGGAGTTCAAATTTTATATGGGCCCAACTTGCTATAATAAGTATCAGTTCTTTTCTCGTTCTTCCTTTTTTTTTTTTATACTAAGTATAATATCGACATGTAGTAATTTATTTGGATTAACGTATTTTATTAAAAATTTCACATATAGTATAATAAATACTAAATGAATAAGTAGCTGCGCAACATTGTTGCGCGAAACAAGGAACAAGAAAGTAGCATATTACAATGCTAAATACTAATGACACCAACAATTGGTAAGTCTGTTATACAGCAGAGACAGTACCTAATCCAAAGTGAATCATTCTCTATTTAAATTAAGTATTTATAAATAAGTATTTCATGATTTTAATTCTACTGATTAACGTTAACAAATCATCTTTATACTCACGGGCTAAATTAATGTAAATGAAAGAAATGATTTGAAAGGTATTAGGTAATTAATTGTTTTAAGTATTTAGTGACAAATATTTATGAATAAGTATTTATATTCATAATTTTAATAAATTATCTTTATACTCACAGACTATTTAAAGGTTATTGGGTAATTAATCGTAAAGAAATATTTAGAGATAAGTATTTATGAATAAGTATTTACGTTCATAATTTTAATGAAACCAATTAAATTATTTTATACTTATCCACGATTTGAAGAGTATTAGGTAACTAATTGTAAATAAGTATTTAGTAATAAGTATTTAGTGATAAGTATTTAAAGATAAGTGTTTATGTTCATGATTTTAATTATACTAATTAACTATCTTAATACTCGTACACTATTTGAAGAGTATTAAGTAATTAATTAAAAATAAGTATTTAGAGATAAATAGATATGAATAAGTATTTATGTTCATAATTTTAATGAAAATGATTAATATTAATAAGTCATCTTTATACTCACTAACTGAAATGATTTGAAGAGTATTAGGTAATTAATTAATTGTAAATAAGTATTTAAAGCTAAATATTTAGTGATAAATATATATATTCAAGATTTTAATGAAACTGATTAATGTTAATAAATCATCTTTATACTCTCAGACTAAATTAATATGAAAGAAATGATTTGAAAGGTATTAGGTAATTAACTAATTGCAAATAAGTATTTAGTAATAAATATAAGGTGAGTATGGGTATTATAGCACAGTTAAATATATTGATGAGAAAACTTTTTCAAATTACTTCGAACACTTATCAAATTTTAGAGATAAGTATAATTTGATTTGAATTAAGTTTTTTTCTTATTTTTAAAAAAAAATTTTTATTAAAAAAAAAACTTTTTCTATGTACATAAAATTTCTTCTGAAAATCGTGATCTTCAAGGTAACCACCAAAAATAGTGCATACTAGATAATCAGGTAGTACTGATTTTTTTTTTCAAGCTGCTTTTCCTCTTTAATACGCTGTTGTTCTAACTTCGCACGCTCTCTTTCTTCTTTTTTTTGCTTATGAATTTCTTGTTTCTGTGCCTTCTCTGCCTTCTGTGCTATTCGTTTTTGGATGGCAATCTCTTTTTTTTCTTTTTTTTTATTAGCAACTCTTTTCACATCTTCTTCCGCCTCTCTCAACAAATGCAGTGACTCTTCACTAATAAGAAGCCAGGAGAAAGGCATAGTCTTCCATTTTTTCTTGAGCTGCTAATTTTTGGGCTGCACTTTATTTACCTTCAGATCTTCAACCTGCTTTGAATGCTGCTGTAGAGAATATTTAAGCACCAGCTGCAAAGAACTGGTACCTGAATTTTTATAGAGCTCCAGTTCTGCTTTTAAATGTTCAACTTTCTGATTAAGTAATTTTATTTCTGTCCACAATTCTTCATTTGTAGAGGTTGAGCTGAGGTAATTTGGTACTAAATTAGATAAAGGTGAAAGTGAAGTTAGTGAACAAATTGGTTGCTCAGAATTTGGTAGGTCGAAGTTATGTATTGCCATTAAGAGTTCAAGACGGCTAGGACTAATAGCATCAGGATTGAATAGCCATATTCTTATTGTCTTGAAAGTATTACATATAGCAGTGGGGTGTATGCTTTAAAATAAGCCCTCTCAAAGAGTTTAGTAAATGTATATTTTGTCACTAGCTTGCTGTTAATAGTATGAAACTTATCACATTTACTGTCATATGCTTGTTTGAGTTGAGCAAATGGTAGTTCAGCAGGTTGTAGGACATGTGTGGTATGTGGTAGAAGAGCATAGAGAAGAATATCATTTTCATAACAGAAGTTAATACAAGTATAATTGACATGGCTCTTGTACCTGTCAAGAATTAGTAAAACAGGGCAGATGGGAGGAATAGAATTAACAAAATGTTCTATATATTTTTTAAATAGGCTCTCCCGCATATATCCCATATTGGTAAACCCATAACAGTACCCACAGGTGCGCTATCTGAAAGACCTGGAATCACCCGTATACCCTTATATATGATTAATGATAGTATATATGTTCCAGCAGCTGAAATAGTGGGGCATACAGAGATATGTTCATGATTGCTACTATATGAAACTCAATGAACCTAATGTGCCTCCTTTTTTGCAATAACTTTTTGAAGTCTAGATTCAATAACGAAACCTGTTTTATGCGATTCAGAAAAAAAAAAAAAAAAAAAAAAAAAAAAAAAAGAAAACGACCTGTCTCATCCATGTTCTAGATTCGATCAGGAGTAAGTGAATATTCATTAATTATTTTTTCAAGTTTATTAAAATGATCTTTAATTATAATAGGATTTGCTTTTTAAACTCATGCTTCATTTAGAGCTTGCAGAACGCAAAATGAAAGTTCAGGATGATCTCTTAGAAACCGTTCCTACCATAATTGACCTGGTCCATTTTCATTAAAAGGATGTGAGTATCCATTTCTACGAACAATTTCCATCACACAATAATTCATACCAGATCTTGATAACCCAAAACCAAGTCTTTGCATATTTAGGCAATAACCGACCAATTGCTCTTCTTCATAGTCAGTTAGAACTTTGTTAGGGCCTGGACGTTTGAGAGGACCATCATTTTTTATAACACATCTAAAAGTTGTTTCTGGTTTATCAAAATCTCATGCAACACTCCTTATACTTGAGGCTTTAGGATTATTTGACTTTTTTATAGCCTTAAGGGCTTTCTCAATAGCATCATTTCAAATCACTTTATCTTTATTAAACGACATAATGAGCAGTTTTTTTATTTTCGATTTTTTTTTTTTATTTTCAGGTTTTTTTTTTATTTTCGATTTTTTTTTTTTATTTTTTATTTTTTTTTTTATTTTAAAATTTAATAAAGTGGTTATTTTTCGTCATGTGTAAAAAGTTAACGTAAGCATAAAATTAATTTATTTAATGTGATTTATTTGTTACACTGCCCGATCGATCATTATAAACAGTGAAAATGCATAAACTTCTATTGCCTTAATTATTAATTTGAATTACGCAATGTATTTACATTCTGGCTTTCAAAATACGATATAAAACTGGTGATTTATATTTTAAAAATAAATCTTTTAAAACATCAAAGGTAATTATGGATTTTAAAGATTCGCATACAGAAAAAGCTTTAATTCAGGTAGTACTTTAAAATAATAAAAGACTTTGTAGGCCGCAGGTAGTGGTAATGTTAAATGACTTGAAATAACCAAATAGCTACTGAAAGTCACTTGGTTATTTAAAAAAGCAAATGATTCAAAAAAAAAATTTAATAAACGTAACTTATATTCCTCTTTGCGAAACTTATAAAAGGTTAATAACTATGTATCACTTTAGTAGCAATATCTTGTGAACAGTAATCAGAACAGCATAATTTTGGTACTGATCGATTCATCTTACTGAGACGAATCGATTGGTACCTAAATTGTATAGTTCTAATCAACAGGTTACAAGATATTAAAACTGCACCATAATTGGTAGTGCGCTATAATACCCATATTCACCTTAGTAGATATTCAAGCTTTGGAAGCAAAACTATATTGTTTATATATATTATCTAACTTGCTGAGAGTTTTTTATACCTTAGTATATATATTAGCTTTTCTACTTCTTTTTTACAATATAGAATACTTATTCTTTCTTGTTTTCTTAAGCTTATCTAAATATCTAAAAACTTTGTACTTTCTTCTAGTTTTTTGACTCTAATCAGACTTAGTAATATTCCAATTTGTATATATTTTTTCTCTTTTTCTTGCTTATAAGGTCTTCAAGCTATTGCTTCTAATTTTACTCTGTTTATCTTAATATCATTTAGTATAAAAAAACTGTTTGATACTTGTATGATTTCTTGTAATACAAGTTTAGATTCTGCTACTCATATCGTATTCTCTGCATATACTAATACTGAAATTATAGCTTTTTCTATTTTATATGTTCACTTTTTAATATCTGTTGGCTATTGCAATTCTATTTAATATCTAATTCCAAACTACTATATTTTTACTATTAATAGATTATAAAATATTTCTATATTAGTAAAGAGATTACTTCATTTTAATCTATTCTATTATTGGCTATGAAAAAATCTGTTAGACTTTCATCTATTATCACCCTTATTTTATGATTTTAATACAATTGCTTAATAAAAGTAATTAGATTTTTTAGAAGTTTAATTCTTTTTATAAAGAGCTCTAGAGCATAGATACTAACTGAATCAAAAGCTTTTTATATATCTTGAAATACTATTTATAGCTCTTTTTCTTTTTGAATTATATCTTCAATAATATTATTTAAGATATATATAGGTGCTATCATATTTTTATTAGGTAGTTCTGCAAAGTTTACTCCTTTTAAGATCTGCTTTTTGATAAAAACTTTGCTTAGTTTTCTTTAAATTATTTTAACTATGAGCTTTCTGAATATTTTAAGTAGTATTATTAGCCTAATATTAGCTAAGTTAAACTTCTAATCTTTACTTTTAAAGATTAAATATATTTGTTTCAGTTTCTATTTCTTAGGAAATTTTTTTTTGTAAACTATTTTGTTTGCAAATTTTACTAAGTATTCTTTTGTTTTAGAGCTTATTTTTTTTATAAATCTATAGCTAATTCCTGAGATACTATATATAGTATCTTCTTTTAGTATACTTGTAACTTCTAACTATTCTTCTTCTGTTACTCTATTCATAACTTCTGTATACTAAACTTTATCAATACTTTCTTGTTCTTTATAGATGTTTATCTATTCTTAATCTAGTTTTTTGAATTAATAGTTTCACTTTCTGAATTGTTCTTTGAAATACTTTTCTACTTTCCTTTTGATATTATTACTTTCTGTAACCAACTTCTAGCTTTTGAACTTATTTTTACTTTGAACTAAGACTCTATCAACTATAATCTTGTTATGAAGATACTTGAGCAATTTGTTTAATATTTGCTTTTAGCTTTTAGGTATTAGTACAAACCTTTCTTCTATTTTCTCCTTTATTTCTTTTTTTTTTGTAGTTTGCAATTTTTTCTATATTCTTTCTTTTAGTATATTTTACTACTTCTTAATTTTGTCACAGTATTCTCTATTCCAAGTTTCTAGTAAAAGTAATATATTAGTCTTATATTTTGTATTAAGGTGCTCTATTCATATATCTAGAATTGCTCTCTTAAGTTTATCTATATTTTGTTCTATATCTATTAACTCTTTTCTAAATATTCTTTCTAAAACTTTGGTTCTGTAATATATTAAAGATTTTATAGCTTCTTTTCTTATTTAGTTTTTAGAATCTTATATTTTTGTTAAAAGAATATATTTGCTTGCTACTGCTTGTATTGCTTTAGCTATAAGTTTCTATTCTTCATTAATATTTGTTTTGAACTCTGTTCTTATTTGATTTTTTTCTCTTCTTTTTTCTGTATTTCTAATGATTTTTTCTACTTCTTGGTTATAATTATTCTAATTTTCTTCTATAGCTTTGTGATACTAATATAATCTTTTTGTTTTTTTTTATCTTTTTTTGCTTCTTTGCTTATACTTCTTCAAAATATCTACACTGTCTAGTTGAATCCAGACTATTTCATAATCACTATCTGTTATTATTTCTATTTGTTTTATATTACTTTTTAAAATAAAGCTTCTCATATCTTGTATTGTTTAAATATGATCTATTCTAGTTGATATATTACTATTTGACTATGAGAACTTAATCAGCTCTAGGTTACAAAATCTGAAAACTTCTTTGTAGTTAGTATTTTTTAACTATTTTGTAATTCTTATACTAGTATCTATATATATATTTTTTTTACTACTCATATTTAGACTTTTACTTAATACTGTATTAAAGTCTTCTAAAATTATATATACTATATTTTTTTAATTTTTAATAATTTCTTCTATTAGTATTTTATATACTTTTTTTATTACTTCTTCATTCTTAGAAGGTAAGTATACTATTCAAACTTGAAAGACTACTCTTCTAAAAGAAAATTTGGCTTTAAACAAATATAAGTTAAACTTTTTATATACTCCTATATTTCTTAACCATTTCTGATCAACTAGAAGTCTGATTCTTAACCCTTTGTATTTTCTTTTTTTTGCTTCTGTTCAGAAGCTTAAGTATTAATATTCTTTCATATTTATTTATTTGCCTTTTTGTTCTCTTATATTAGTTTTTATTATTCTAATAATGTTATATCTTTTGGACTTACTATACTCTGCTAGCAGTTTTACCTTTGTATTATTCCTTTTAATTCTATTAATATTATATATATCTATTTTTATATCTTTTTATCTTTTCTTCTGTTACTAGTATTAACTTCTACTCTTTTTTTTACCTCTCTTCTCTCTGTATTTTCTATATATACTTCTCTATTCTGGTTTGTACTTGTTTCTGCTCTGTTCTATCTTTTAAGTTTTCTTTCTTAAAATAGCAAAAGCTTTTATTAATTTAACTTTAGCTATTTTCAGAAATAATTTGAGGCTTCTAGGCTCTAGTCATTTTCAAAGCTATTTAATTTTCTTTTTAAAGCTT